TTCATGAAACCTTTTACAGATGCGATGGGTTCGTTGCCAACTAAAAAATACGTGGGATAATCTCTACACAAAAGGTCTCATGACCCACAATAACACAGGACCCAAGTGCAATGGTATAGGGGAAAGATCTGAACCAACAACTTGCATGGAAACAGAAGAATTGAAGAAAGAAAAGAAAGAACATGAAACCAGAAAAACTAAATACCGTAGCATAAATTTTTACATATTAACGTCAATCTGAGTATGTGTAGGCAAAAAAAATGGAAAGAAAAAGTTACCTTGAAGATTTTAACACCAGATGTATGGAGACACGTGAGCTTTGCACGATCAAAGGTTGAAAGTATGCTTCTTTGAATTCGACTGCGGGAGTTTAATGGTTGATGGGTTCGTCACTTTGAGCTTGGATTTGTCTAACCTAGAGCGGTTTTTTCTGAGAGATTCCTGAACGAAATTTCTTCTACTATCTCCCAAGAGAGCGCAGAAGCCAAGAAATCTCACAAAAACCCATAATCGAAGCAAAAATCTGGCCCTGAAACAGGCTTTGCCGTCAGCCTGGTTAAGGTTTTTGCAAAAAAATTTTCTTCACTTTTTCTGAATTTCCCCTCTCTTTTCTTTCTGTTTTTCTTTTCCTTTTGATCTCTCCGCCACCCCTCTCTCTTTCAGACTCTCTCCTCATTTTTTCTGGTTTCTCTTCTCCCTTTCTCTCTTCTTTTCTTTCTCCCTTTTTCTCTTCTCCTTCCCCGAAACTCTCTTCCTTTTTCTTTTTCTCCTTTCTTTCAGTTCCTTTCGGTTTTCTCCTCTCTCTACAATCTCTCCCTTCCTTCCTTGCTTCCTAGATCCTTTCTTGCTTCCTTCCCCAGTTTTTCCTTTTCTCTTCTTTTCTCCCTCAACTGAAAACCCTTTTTCTTTCTTTTCTCTTGCCTTTCTTCCTCTGATTTCTTGCCTGCAGCCCCCTTTCCAGATTTTTCTCTTCTTTTTCCAGATTTCTCTTGAATTCCACCTGTCCTAGCCACCTATCCCCTTGCATGTGTTGTGGTGTAAAAAAAAATAAAATCAGACACATGGCTCATTTGCATGTATTCCACCTAGTTAATATGCATGGCCTCCACCTATTTTCTTTGTCCCTTATTATTATTATTTTTTGTTTTTAAAACAAATTTATGATAAACAAAATGTTAATTCCTAATTGAGATTGCCTTGCAAAAATGTCATTTTATTTGGAAGAAATTGAATTAAAAAAAATTAAAACAAATTTTTGTGAGAATTTTCTTTTCACAAATTTAATGCAAAAATGCTTTAAAAAGAGAAAGGGTTAAATACCAAAAACCCCCCTGTGGTTTGTCTAATGTTCACTTTAACTCCCTATGATTTGGAAACCTACAATTTGACTCCCTGTCGTTTCAACTAAAGTGTATTTAACGGAATTTCTGTTAGATTTTCACTTTAGGTGAAAAGACAGAGAGTTAAATTGTATGTTTTCAAACCATAGGGAGGTAAAATGTACATTTGACAAACCACAGGAAGGTTTTTGGTACTTAACCCAAAACCCTTATAGATGGGCAATTTTGACATTTTCCTTTCAGACGTTAGTTTAGATGTTTTCTGTCAGACTTTTACTTTAGTTGAAACGACGGGGAGTCAAATTGTAGGTTTCCAAACTATAGGGAGGTAAAGTGAACATTAGTCAAACCACAGGGGAGTTTTTGGTATTTAACCCAAAGAGAAATGATGAACCTAATTTACTACAATAAATAAATAAACAAGCATAAATAAATAAAATAGAGCTAAAATTGAATTAAATAAACTTGAAATTTTGGTGTCTACAGTACATTCATACCACACAATTAAATACCATCTAAGTTCTTTACATTATATTCACTAATACATTACCTAATAGCCATTATATTAGAGGCACCCAAATCACAACCCAAACAAATATATGCAACTAGTGCCAAATTACTCCATCTACAGCCATTGATAGATTACAGTAACAATAACCATGAATAAATAACATTGCAGTCATTCTTCTCTCTTTATGCTTTCTTTCCTCTAGATCGACCTCCAAATCTTTCACCTTCTTTGTTAACCTCCATGTGTACCTCAATAGTTTATCACACCTCTCATAGCTGCTTGTTTCATACCACTTGAAGTAACCATAGTCGCCTCCACCATTATTATGCTGTTCATGGTAAAATAATTCTCTTAGGAGCTCTGATTGTCCAAAAAAGAAAAGAAAAGAAAATAATCAAACGCAAAGACTTACTTGATAATGGGCACAACCATAGAACTTCTTTCCTGAATTCTCAATCGTTCATGAAGCTTTCATTGTGGCTGGTATATGGCAACCACATATTGGTAGTTCTCCCATGGCAATTTCAATTAGATTTAGGGATTCAATGAATAGTTAAAGAAGATTGAAAAATAAAAGCATTTGGTCTCTTATATTTTGGTCAACATCTGAGTGATTTGCCATTTTTAACCTTGAAAAAATTAGTCACGTGATGTTTCTATTATCGAGTCCATTAAAAATTGAACGAAAAAGTTAGCAGGAACTAAAATTGATCATTTTTTATTTTTGAGGAATTGAAAATGCTTCTTTTCGCTTGAGATATTAAATTTTTATTTTGCTAATATGTAAGAGACGATTGGTGCAATTTTTCAAGAAAAAACTTATACTGTATAAATGTTTGTATGATTTGGTTTTCGACTTGATATATCTGGATGCCCAATGAAAATCCCAATTCACCCAAATATTTCCTGCATTTCTCGTCCCTTATTCAAAACTCAACTGACTCAATGTTTCAAATAATGGGTGCATTGGGCTGATTGTTGAATTTGGATTTAAATTGTGGGATGTTCTTGTGTTTATTATTGGCATTATTTTTCAAGTAAGACAAAAAGACGTGATTTTATGGTCGTGGTCGTAGTTTTTATTTTCAAATTTGGACTGGTCGAATCTAAAATCGGCCAAAGACACTGAAAACTAGGGGTGGGCAAAAATACCCGCTGACCCGAAAACCCGAGAGATCCAACCCGATCCGCACCGAAAAATAGGATATCCGATCCGATTTCTCTTAGCGGATCAGATAGGGCCGAGTATCCGGAACATTCGGATACGGGTACGGATCGTAAAAGCAAAAACCCGCAGGTACCCGACCCGGGGGTATAATATATACATATTAAAAAATATAAGGGCAATTTTATAATTTTTTAAGTTATTAACCCTAAGTTCCTAACCTAAATCAATCCGTTGGTCAACCATTCAGATTTCATCCTCTGCTTCAGCCGTCGACGCTCTTCACTCTTCACCTTCACTCTTCACTCTTCAGTGGCCGATGCTCTTGTCTCTCAAACCTAGGGCCGAAAACTACCGTTAAAACTCCTCAAACTGCCTGAATCGAATCCCTTTCTCTTCAACCCTGTTTCTCCGTTGTCGTCCTTTTCTACCTTCGACTTCGAGTAAAGGGACGCTGCCAAAAGGTCGCCTGACGCAGCCGACGCCGGAGCCGGGTGGTTTAGCTATCAAGGTTTTTCAATAACTCTTTTCTTTTAAGTTCAATTCTTTCTGCAAAACTATTCTGCATCTATGTGTATTGTGTACGTCTATGCATTTGTCGAATTGGCTACATGAATTCTGATCTTTCGTCCAAATCGAAACTGGGTTGTACAATTAAGATTAGGAATTGCTGGACCCATACAGAAAAAAGAAAAAAAAAAACCAAAAAGGGGGTTAGCATAAATGGTACAGGTACGGAAACAAATTCTGGCCATAATTTTCCATGGAGATACTCTTCATGATAGGGGAAAAATGAAGCTGCCCTTTTCTTTCTAATTCATCTTTAGAAATCATTGGAGTGTTGATCATAGCTTTTCATTTCTTCTAATTTTCTTGTGAAACTGTTGGTATTTGTTTTGGAAATGGGCTTCTTATAGCTAAAACAAATTTACTCCTCCTTTAAACTAGTTGCATATGAGGAAAGCCTAACAAAAGATGCTAACTGTATTAAACTCAGAGAGGATTTCTGATTTAATCAGTGCAACAGTTGATGCTAACTTTTGCTCATTCGAGTAGTATTACCATGCTATGTGACTGAACAAGTTCCCTAGTTGTTGGACAAGAAAACAAATAAAATTACAGATGACGATGTCTAATGTAATATGTTGTGTTTCTTTTCCTCCAGTGCAATGTAGCTGCATAATTACTTTAGCTTTTTTGTCTAACATAATTCAATTCAATGTGCAAATTCTAAGATAATACCTCTATACCTGCTGAAGTTGTAGTAGTGTAAAACTCTTTTTTTTTTTTAGATTATTGGTTTGCCTTTTCTTTTCATACATTGGACATTTTTCCCCTTTTGGGTTTATCTACACTTTGCACTCAATATTTAAATTAGCAGGCCAAGCAACTGAGGATTGTGAGATATTTTTTGTTATTGTTCTTAAGATTATTCCAACTGCCCTTTTCTTTCTAAAATGAATCTGGACATGGTTTTATGGGAGTTTCTGAGCTATGTATTAGCTGCGCATATGGTAGAGAAGTGGGATTTTCATTTGATTTGTTTTTTTGAATTTTTCAGATGTCAAGTACAGGGGATAATACAGCTACTACAGCTGCAAGCCCAAATGTTGATCATTCATCATCAATGGATCCAAAAATTGTTGCTAGAGCTTCTGAAACTGAGACAAGTCAAGTACCACCTCCTCCAACATTCGAGACAAAAGTGTCTACCAAGAGCAGTAGGTCTTGGGTTTGGGAGCATTATGCAGTTGTTACAGGTACGGAAACAAAAGACAAGAAAGCTGCTTGTAAATATTGTCAACAATTGATTGCCTGTGCAAGCAAAAATGGTACTACTTCTTTGAGTAATCACCTTCATAGGTGTAAAAAATATCCGTATAATAATACGGATAAGAGGCAAAAGACGCTGGAGTTTAAAGCAAAAGAGGGAGGGGGAAAAGCATTAACAACCCATATGTTTGATTAAGAATCATGTAGGAGAATGTTGGCTAGGATGGTGATTATAGATGAACTACCTTTTAAATTTGTGGAAAGGGAGGGATTTTTGGATTTTTGTCAGTTTATGCAGCCACGGTTTGAAATGCCATCACGTAGAACTTTAACTAGAGACTGCCATAAGCTTTTTTCAGATGAGAAGAAAAGTTTGAAGGCATACTTTGAAACTTTATCCTCACGAATTTGTCTCACCACTGATGCTTGGACATCCATTCAAAATCTGAATTATTTGTGTTTGACAGCTCACTTTATTGATGATAAATGGAAATTGCACAAAAAGATTTTAAGTTTCTGTCCTATTACAAGTCATGCGGGTGAAGTTATTGGTCGGACAGTAGAAAAATGCTTGCTTGATTGGAAAATTAGTAAAGTTTTGACTGTTACGGTAGACAATGCTAGCTCAAATGACACTTGTTTGCAATATTTGAGAAGAAGGCTTATTAATTGGAAAGGTACTGTCTTAAATGGAGAATACTTGCATATGAGATGTGCTACCCATGTTTTGAATTTGACGGTTAGGGAGGGATTGAAAGACTTGGAAGACTCTATTGTTAGAATTCGATCAGCTGTGAGATATGTTAGGTCTTCACCTGCTAGAGCTCAAAGATTCAAATCTTGCATAGAAAAAGAAAGAATCGAAAGTAAAAGTCTTGTATGCCTTGATGTTGAAACTAGGTGGAACTCCACATTTTTAATGTTAGAGGCTGCTCTAAAATTTCAAAAGGCATTTGAGTTGCTAGAAACTGTGGATAGCAAATATGTCGAAGAGTTAACTCCACAAAGTGAGAATGATACTCGTAGGAGTTCTAAGGTGAGGGGTGTGCCAACTGAAATGGATTGGGAGTATGCAAAAGATTTGTTGCCTTTTCTTCAAATTTTTTATGATTCCACTGTGAAAATGTCAGTCTCACGTTATGTGACAGGAAATGTATATATGAATGAAATTTTTGGCATTGGTGGTCTTCTTAATTCATTTCAAGAAAGTGATGACTTTGGTTTGTCAACTATGGCTGGGAATATGAAGAAAAAATATGATAAATATTGGGGTAATGTGGAAAGGATTAACATATTGATTCTGATTGCTGTTGTTCTTGATCCCCAGCATAAACTAAGTTATGTTCAATGGGGCAATTGATGAGGCATATGATCCTAAGAATGCTGAAATGTTAAAAGTTAAGGTGGAAAAAGTGTTACATTCCCTATTTGACTTTTATTCTGCTAAAAAATCACCTCATAAGGAAGTAATAAGTCAAAATCAGTTGAGGGAAATGGATAAAATGGATGTTGATGCAATTACAGTTAAAGGGGCATCAGATTACATGCATGCAAAGTATTCTCAAAAGGCTGATACATTGGGTAGCACTCACAATAAAACGGAATTGGACATCTATTTGATGGAAATGAAGGAAGATTTTCACTGTCCAAACTTTCACATATTGGATTGGTGGAGAGATAATGCTCATAGGTTCCAAATTCTTGCTGCGATTGCTAGAGATGTATTAGCTATTCCGGTGTCTACTGTTGCCTCCGAGTCTGCTTTTAGTACGGGAGGGTGTGTGTTGGATTCTTTTCGAAGCTCTTTAACTCCAAGAATGGTGGAGGCTATAATTTGTGGACAAGATTGGCTTCGCAAGGGTATTCAACCAATTGATTTGGAAGAAAGTATAACTGAACTTGAAGAAATGGAATCGGGTAATACTTTTCATATCTTGTCAATTGTTATCATTGCATTGCAAATTTTCTTATTCATTTGAGTTTCAACTTGTGCTAATATATTTCTTGGTTGCTTTTATTTTTGGAAATTTTTTTTTCAGGTTTGACAATGGAGCATTCTATTATTAATATTGAAGATTGATGATTCTTGAAGATTGTGCTCCTTCATGTGTTGTAGAAGGTTGAGATTGTTGAAACATTTGAGGTTGTTGAAACTGTCATGGCATGGCTAGGGGAGGAAAATGAAGACAGCTTCTTGATTTATGCCTAGTCAATGCATTATGCCATGTTTGCTGGATTTGAGAATGTCTATATAGTGTACATTTTTCTCATTTATATGCCCTTTTTGGAAGTTATGTATCAGAGTAGATATTTCTAACTTTATGATTTAGTGTGGAACTACTGCTACTGATCATTTTTGAGATTTGAATATGCTTTGTCTTTGTCTAGTTTGAATGATGTTGTTGCCTTTGTTTTTTTTTTGTTGAATGATGCTATCGTCCAGCAGGTTCATCTTATGTCTTATGAGTTTGCAAAATTTGCATTCTTTAAATAGGGGCGGATACCCTATGACTCGCCTCTATTTTTCGGGTATCCGAGGATTGGGTACCTGAGAAAGTTCGGAGCGGATTAGGGTCAAAAAAATAGTGACCCGATATGTTAGGGTCGGATCAATCAATTAGCATTCGGGGCGGGTACCCGACCCGTGCCCACCCCTACTGAAAACCGGTTTTTTCTTCTTTTCTTTTCTTTTTTTTTTTAAAAAGACCGACGAAGTCCCTGAAAACCTTAAGTTCCCTAGGTCACTTCTCCTCTCATTTCTCCCCTCATAGCCGTGCGCCAAAACAACAGAGCCGCCCATCGAAGTTAAGCCAACGACCATCGCAGTCGGCCTCCACTCCATTAGCGTTCAAGCTTTAAGGACAACACCGGCTCTGTCCAAGGAGAAGAAATTAGCGACCTCTCCACCATTCAGGCTTCAACGACAGCCTCCGGCGAATCTCCTGTCTCCACTCCGTCAAACGAAGCCAACATCTACTCTTCCTTAGGTAAGTTCTTTTATAATGACAAAGGACTGCTCCAAATCGGTTTAAGAGGCAACATATTTTGGAGTTCTATTGCTCTTGTTTTCCTGTAGAAGAGGAGGTGGAGATAGTGGCGGCGGCGTGGCGGTGTGGGGGTAAAGGGAATGGAGTTGGTGGGAGGAGAAAATTTTGAATTTTATAAATTCCATACACGATTTCAGGAAATTAGCTCCATTTTTCTTGGCCAATTCAGCTTTTTTTTTTGAGGTTTTCTTACCTTAATTTGTGAAATTGCCTATTCTGAAAATTATGCTACGACGTCATCTCCACAACTTGTACCATGTCATAAGACGAAAACCCTGTTGCTGTTGGCATTCTTCAAAACCCCTTCACCCAACTCAATTTCGCCTTCGCTTCTCACTGTCTCCCCATTCTCGCTCTCTCTGCTCCTCCTCTGCCGCCGCGGGCGCCGCTGGTTAGCCTTCTCTTTCTTTTAACCGCCGCACTTTGGCTTTGTTCATTTGAACTGAAGATATTTTTCAGAAAATATGTTTGTCAATTTTCTTGTTTTGATTGGATACTAGGCTAAGAAAATGTTTAAGTTGCTGTTGCCTTCTTTTTCTCCACTAGTCTCAGAATTTGTATTTTTTTCTAATTTTTTAAAAAATATTTTATTTTTACCTTCTCAAACTCTGTTGGGGCTAGGATTGCTTAGGCAATGTGGACAGCGACCTGCAATCTTCTTCAAATTTACGTGAATGTTTCTGTGGCAATATTATTATTTGTTGTTTTTACCCCAACTTGAATATCAGTTTTCCTTTTTTCCTCTTATACTCCAATTTCGCTTCAGCCATCGACCTGTCTCATTGCTAAATTTTATTGTTTTTGTTCCATTAACTACCCCCCTAAATGGTTTTCCTACTTGTCCCAGTTAAGTATTTTTTTGCAAGTCTGAACTTGAATGGCATGGTTTTATTAATTGAATATCTCTAATATTGCCGCCAGTTTTAATTTTCTGATTAATTTTGCTGCAGAAATCAAACTTACATTGCAAAACATGAAGGACAAAGCTAACAAGGTAAGAGGATAAGTTTTTTCATTGCCTTGAATAATCGCATTTGTGTCTTATAACTTTTATGCTTTTATTGTTTGACCGTGGTGTTTTCTGTGCTGCTGTCCTTGTTTATAGCCTCTAGATTCCATGTTCATAATAGTGAGTTGTGATATATAAGCCCTTTTTAAAAAGGGGACTGCAAAAGGTCGTAAAATTTGCCAGGGAAGGTAAGAAAATGTTCAACTATCTCAAAAGGGCTTACAATGCCCATGCTCTATTTACAGTAGCCTGTTTGGCAATATGTGCAAGTTTTAATGATCAGAGATTTAATCTCATACAATTAGAGCTAAATTGCAGCAAATCACCGAGGGAAAACTAATAATAGGGAGCAAGTGATGACTACGATTTCATTCATAAAAGAAACAAATCCAACTGGGAAATTGGATGGAAAATATTCAAGAGTTAGGAATTACTTGGAGAAGAAGAATGAAAAGCAAGAGCTCATCAGCGCAGCTCACTGTTCTCACAAAATCAGAAAAATCTTCAGAATGCCTTAAGGGATTAACACAGTGTCTATATAAGCAAATCCTAGCTAACTATGCATCATTGCTTATTACCAGCTACCAAGTGGAATGCTACAAGTCTGCCTTCTACCCTCCTAACCATCCATCACTTGGGACCTTAAAATGAAAACTGAGCTTCCTTAGCTGCCAACTCCACTTGAGGCGTGCTCCTTTGCTCCTTTGCTCTTTGCTCTATGCCTTCACATTTCCTCAATGAAAGACAAAATTAACTTGCTTTGTTACTGAAATTATCTAGCCTGCAGTGAAGGGAGCCCTTGGAGAGTGTCCAAATGGCTTATTGCTAAGTAATATAATCAAGTTGATGACACATATTTCTGATTTTTATATGCTTTGAAATTTATTTGGTGGATGTAGTTTTATCTTTGTGCTTTATTTTCTGTTCATAATGCGGAGATATGAAAATTTGAAACCCAAGTTTTTCTCTCATGCTATGTCACGGTTTTCGAGGATCTGAGTTTTCATCAAGCAAATAGCATGTGAATATTTGTAAATGTTAAATATTTGCAGTGCAGTGCTTAAATTTTGTATTTTTTTTTCACGATATTATGGGTATGATGATTGTGATGGCACCTTTCAGGCTGCTCAAAAGACGAGCTCACGTGCTCAGCAGGCCCAGGGCGGAGAAGATGAGGGATTGGATCCAACGGTTGCTATTTCTTTGCTTTTCCTTTTTTTTTAGTTGTCTTTGTTTAAGTAGTTGTAAGATTTATACTTATATTTATTCGTGCTTTGCAGCAATACTATGAAAATAGGCTGAAAGCACTTGAAGCTGAAAAGGAAGCTGGAAAGAACCCATATCCTCACAAATTTTTTGCCTCAATGTCAATTCCTGAATTTGTGAATAAATATGGAAGCTTGGAAAGTGGGGAGCATCTTGAAGATGTTGAAGTGTCATTAGCAGGTAATGGAGATATTATAAGATATTGGTGTTACTGATGGTCAGTCTTTTTTCATTTTTTTGAATGTTGATAAAATATAGTTGGCATTGGCAGGACGAATCATGAACAAACGATCGTCATCGGCAAAATTACTTTTTTATGATCTCCATGGTGGTGGTGCTAAAGTTCAAGTTATGGCTGATGCAAGGTACTCATGTCCATGGTTTTTTTTATCTTCTGGGAGGAAAATGTCCGGGTAGATTCAAAGATTTATGTTTATAGACCTTCTAGCTTGAATTGAACATCAGATATTTAAGCCTTAATGCATGAGTGGTTGCTTTGAACAACATACTCAAAACTTGTATTTATGTGACACCATTGACTTTCCAAATCTCAATTGGGATGAAAAACATATGATATTATCTTTGTTTCTGATGCTTTCTACATGCTGTAAATTTCATATAATTATTCTTATATCTGGCTGGATCGTTATGAAACAAGGAAAACATAAATTCAGTCTCCTGTTTGAGTTCCTGTGGTTGTTGAATACATGAATGTCAACTTTTGTCATGCTTTTCATTACATGCTTCTAAATATCTAGCAGAAGGTGATTTGTGAATGATAGAGTACAGTTAGCCTGAATTAGCCTTTTGTAATTTTTAAATCGTAAATTTTTATTGGTTTTTAAGGTTGGTAAGGGCTCTTATAGTAAAAGGAAAAGCTGATTGTTTCTGCTTTGCTTACTTAAGCAAGTGACTAATAGCGTCAGGGAATAGTTAACTTGTTCAGTACTTTGTGTTTGTAGATATAGTGAATTGACTAGAGCAAGTGGATATTGGGGTTAGAAGATAGTTAATTTCATGGCTTAAGTGAATACATTCTTGCTGCTTGCCTGGTTCCTTTTGTTTATTTTTCTTTATTTCACCGTATATGACTACTTGTGCTATTAGACTTTCCTGTGTCTTATTTTTCACTTGACCATGGTTACATATGCAGGAAATCGGATTTGGGTGAAGATAATTTTCCCACATTTCACTCTGGTGTTAAGCGTGGAGATATTGTTGGTATTGTTGGATTTCCAGGTTCGAGACAATCTCCACTGTTAGTGGTTACACTTTCATGAATAAAAATTGTTTTTCTCTCTTCTTCTCATCAAAGTATTTTGTAAACTCATTCCCCACCCCCAAAAGAAAAATAAAAAGGTCATCATTTTAGGAATGTTTGGATTTCTGAGCATTTTTTAACAAGGTATTTTTAGCTGTTTATGTCATAGTTATCTTCAGTGGAGTCTATATGTTATTTCTGTCGAATCATTCCTGAGGAAGACCTGGGATGTTTACAAAGTTTTAATCATTACAATTGTCTCCAGAAAGCCCAGATCCTGTTTTCACCTATATTACTGAGTACCTTTCTGATAGAATGTTACAATTTAAGACTATAATTGACACCATCTTGCTGGTTTCCTTGATGAAAAACATTTAGTATTGTGGCTTATCTTAGAAATGGAGTTACAATGTCGAAAGTGCATGTTTTTGAGGTCTTTCAACAGTACAAACTCAAACCATAAAAATGTACTTGAACTTGGTATATGTGTTGCGGTGAATGTTTTTCTTTAGGCATCAGTCTTTTTAATTGAAACACTTAATGCTGTGTGGATGACATCATTGTGATGTGGGGTAGGGTGGGATTGAAAAGTCATTGTTTTGTATTTTCTAAACTTCGTCTGATTTGAAAGTTCCATGATCTAAGTTGTGGTTCCTCTTTGCTTTATTAGGCAAAACTAAAAGGGGAGAGTTGAGTATTTTCCCAAAAAGATTTGTAGTTTTGTCCCATTGTCTTCATATGATGCCACGGCAAAAGCTTGCTTCTGGGTCGGATAACACTAAGGTAAAGGCATATGCTTCTTGTAGCTATCGAGTTCTATTGCTGTGTCTTGTTAACAATTGAATTTGTTTAATCTCAGAAAACTGATCTGTGGGTCCCAGGAAGTGGGAGGAATCTCGAGTCATATATATTAAAAGATCAGGTCCGCAATATTTTTGCAACTGTTTAAAGTTGATGTATCCCCTCTTCTGGTTCTATCTTCTCCAACATAACTATGCTCTTTGATACTAGGAAACACGATACAGACAGCGTTATCTGGATTTGATGTTGAACTTGGAAATTCGTCAAATATTTAAGATTCGAGCTAAGATAATCTCCTATATCAGAAGTTTTCTTGATAATCTTGATTTCTTGGAGGTAATTTGGGTGCAGTTGTGCCAAAATTTACCTTGTTTGATCTTATAATCTTGGCTCTGATCCCTTAATTCCATTACAATGCACTATTCTCCACATAAGGTTGAGACACCCATGATGAACATGATTGCTGGGGGAGCTGCAGCACGTCCTTTTGTGACTCATCATAATGAACTGAACATGAAGCTGTTCATGCGTATTGCACCTGAACTTTATCTCAAGGAGCTGGTTGTTGGTGGACTTGATCGTGTTTATGAGATAGGAAAGCAATTCAGGAATGAGGGAATTGACTTGACACACAATCCCGAATTTACTACATGTGAATTCTATATGGCATATGCTGATTACAATGACCTGATGGAGCTGACTGAAAAAATGCTCAGTGGTATCTACCATTTCATTACTTTCATTCTTCTTTTAGAAATTTGCTCACTTTCTGAAATTTTTCTGGATCAAAATTCGTTTTCTTGCTAAACAATAATGTGTTGCTTAGGAATGGTGAAAGAGCTCACTGGGGGGTACAAAATTAAGTATCACGCAAATGGACAGGAGAACGATCCAATTGAGATTGATTTTACCCCTCCTTTCAGGTCTCTTGACTTGTTTGTTCTTTTTCTGTTAAGGCTAGGCCTGTCCATCCATATATTATTATTTAATTCAACCCTTTTTTAACTTCTTCAGAAGGATTGACATGATAGATGAGTTGGAGAAGATGGCAAATCTGAATATACCCAAGGATCTCTCAAGTGTTGAAGCTAACAAATATCTGTTAGATGCATGTGCAAAGTTTGACATCAAATGTCCCCCTCCCCAAACAACTGCTAGATTATTGGATAAGGTAAATACTGTTTCTTTGTGTATACATTATGCCGCAACAGATTTTCAGTTGTCTTGTCAAAAAACAAGTGGCATGTACGCATTCCATCTTTTAGGCCATTTAACTCATCTTTTAGGCCATTTAACTTATCTTTTACATGCTCTCAATGTTTATAGTGAATAATGGATTCTTTGTATCTTTACATGGGAACCTGAGATGGTAATTGATTGTTTGAAAGAGGAAATGAATGTTAACATTAAGCACCCTGACATTGGAAGGGGAGGTTTCTGTTTGTTGACAACTTGTATTACAGTTAAATACTGCTTTTGTTCTTTTACTGTTAATTGTTTCTCTTTTAGATGGTTGTGTTTCAGCATTCTCTTTATATCAAACTCATCATATTCCTTGAGGGCATGTGAATGACTGTTTTCAAATACGTAGCATCGTTCCAAAATTTGCCACTGGAAGCAATGTTAATTTGGAACTATAGAGTGATTTAAATCCTGCATGTGTTATGTCTCAGGCAGAAATGACAGTTTTAAAATGTGTATCATTCTCCCCAAATTGTCGCTTGAAGCAATTTTTATTTTGAAGTCAAGAATGATTTAGATTCTGCATGTGTTACATTTTAGATAGATCTCCCCCTCCCCCCTCTCTCTCCACACACACTACACACAGACATGCACACCACCCACCCATGTTCATTTCTAACTTCTTGGATTGCAGCTCGTCGGACACTTTCTGGAAGAGACTTGTGTCGACCCTGCTTTCATAATCAACCATCCGGAGATAATGAGTCCATTGGCTAAGTGGCATAGGTCAAGCCCAGGCCTGACAGAACGGTTTGAGTTGTTCATTAACAAGCGTGAAGTATGTAATTAGCTTGACCTTCCAATTTGAGATTGTTCTGTAGTAGTAAAGGTAGTGACTATTTCACTATCTCAGTATTTTAGTCTAATATTTGGAAATTTACAGCTTTGTAATGCATACACTGAATTGAATGATCCCGTTGTACAACGGCAGCGCTTCGCTGACCAACTCAAGGTACACGAACCTATTATGGAGTTGGCTATAATGGTTTTTCAATTAGACATCATATGACAGCACTTTGCCGCCATTTGCACTTGAATTTAGGACCGACAATCTGGTGATGATGAGGCAATGGCTTTGGATGAGACCTTCTGCACAGCTCTCGAGTATGGGCTACCCCCAACTGGTGGATGGGGGCTCGGTATTGATCGGCTTGCTATGCTACTGACAGATTCACAGAATATCAAGGTCTGTTCCTGTTTACTCACATGACTCTGCATGTCACGTGTACCTGCTTTTGTTTATAGCTTAGCTTTCAATCTTGCTATCTTTTTGAATCTGCTTTCCTGGCTCTCTTTTGTATCCTTTTGTTGGGTCAGGAGAGAGAGGATTTGAGGGTTTTCCTCTTTTTTGGGAAGGATATCTGTGGTTCTTGTTCAGACAGAAGCTCTTTTTCTCGAAAGATAGGCACTTGGACTGGGCTTAGTGTATGGATGGTTATTTTCTCAGGTTGGGATTTGATATTCCATGATGCTTTTGGAGGCTCCAGCAAACTGAAATTCACAGGGACTAGCCCATTATGTTTAGACATGTTTGCTCTGCACCAAAATGTAGAAAATAAAAGTAAAAATAACTAGGCATATCTTCTTGGAGATGTAGGTTGTGAATAGTTGAAGGACCGAGACACGACTTTTTCACCAATGAGAGGGTTATTCTTGGTATGTTTGGGCTGTGGTTTAGGAAGTGCAGTATACGTTGGTGGTTGTTTAGAGAACCTAGTGTCTGATTTGGGGTGGGGTGGTGCTTAAGGCATATTTGTGCTGTAAATTGATAAGCATTTGGGCGGAATGAAGGAATTGTAGCTGACAGAGATGTTTAAATAAGCATCCATTTTCTTATTATTGGCTAATTTATCATTAGACCCGTAGATTCACTAAATTCCAGAGGCCTCCCTCATTTTTATACTGACAATCAACCATGTAAATATTATTGTGCTTTCGTCTGGCTTAAGACTTTAGGTTGTAATTGCTTTGGTTGAATTGAGTTGCAAATGGATAAGAGTAAAATTGATTTTAGTGGAGGCAAAATAGCAGGTTCCTGCTGAAGCAGAGGCAAAATAAACTTTCACATTTTTTTCCCCTAGCGTGACATAAGATCGTCACTATGGCTTTTCTTTTTTTGGTTGTGTCAGCATACTTTTATATTTCAATGGCCCATAGGCATCAGCCTATTTAATTATGTACTCTCACATTCTTTTATTACCTACAATAATCAGCCTTGTTTTGGGTTTTTAAACAGGAAGTCTTGCTCTTTCCAGCTATGAAACCACAGGATGAGCCTTCCTCTAAAGAAAGGTGCTTTGTCTATTAACTCAGCCCTGGCTTTGCTATTTTTTCCATTTCCTCTCTGGTGCTTCTTGTGTGGTTCGGCTTTGATGATGACACTGAATATTAGCTTAGATGTAAGATTTTCTTCGTACCTTAAGAGGAAACTGAGATTTTGACACAATTTGTGTTTTGTATATTTATTTTTCTTCAAAATCTTGGTAGGTCTCTATACTGTTGAGTACTTAGCTGATAATAACACATGACAATGGCAGGGCTTCCATTCCCACTGATTTTAATCACATAGATAGTCTTCATCGTTTGATTCCTATAGTACTAGTTTTCCTTGTACTTGTTTTCAGTCGTTGAGGTTTGTCAAAGCAATGCAGTAAGATTCTCAGTCAAAGCTGTGCATGAAATTGTGTTATCAAAGGTACCCTTTTGCAGCACAGTATTGACTTCACCCATGCACTAACCAATGTAGTAGCTTTTTACCTTTTCCTTGCCATTGAAGATGGCAGGACTTTGATTCCAAATGCAGAGTCTGTTTTTGTGAAAGAGATGGCCACATGTTCTGCAATTATAATATACCTGGAAGAGCAGGGGTTGGAAAACTTGTGGCCAGGAAAGTTTCGGTGTTGTTGCTAAAATAAACGATATGATATTTATCTTGACTCCTTTTGGTGTTTCAGTTCAAGTGCCTCCACCTTGTTGAGACGTGTTTCTTTTGGTTAATTTTTAATTGATGTTGGTCCAAGTTTATGCTGCTTGCCTTTTGTGCTGTTTTGATAATTTATGCTGTGTCATATTCCTAAAACAGTCAAAAGAAGGCTCAGGATGATTCAATTGTGGCTGCGGACGGATCTGCTAAGGCTTAGGATGGACCGACTAAGGATGGGCCAGCTACAGAAGGTAAGCGTTCTCTCACGCCAAGCTTTATCATGAATTACATTGTGCCTAGGGCATAAGCTTCTTGTTAGCTAGGAGTATCAGAGACAATGTGAAGCTTTGCCTAGATGACTTATTTGTTGAATTCCATGATTCTTGTTGCGCCCTTTTTCTTGTCTTTAAATTGTGGAATGTGGAATATTTGCATTTTCAACACGTCTTCTTTCCAATGCAGCTGCCTAGTGATTCGAACTCCATTCTTCCATTCAATGCCACCGAATCTGGATCACTATTTTCAAGAAATGGCAAACTCATTTTTGGTGCCAATCGTGACAAGACTATGACTATGCAATGTTGTAACTCCATATAGTTAGTTTGGTGATTCACTTTCTTTTCTTTTTTTTTTTTTTTTTTTTCCAAACGATAACAATTGCATTACTTGAAAACAGAAGAAACAAGGTTTGGAGCAAAGGCCCCTACATCCATTTTGGCTATACTACTCAGCCAACTTGGAAAAGACTCCTTCCAAGCAATCTCAGAAACTAATTTTAAGGCAAACTTTGCCAATTGATGGGAAACATTATTCCCTTCTCTTTTGACAAACGAAAACAGGCAAGAACTGAAGTCCTTGCTGAGTGCCATAATATCAAAAAGGACAGCACCTGCTAAATGGTCATTCAACTTTCCGTCTCTAATCTGATCCACAATTCTCTTGCAATCAGTTTGAATAATAATGTTTCTCCACCCATTCTGCTTGGCCAACACAAGCGCATGCCGGATAGCTCTTGCCTCCTCAACAATTGGAATGCCCCTCCTGTCTTCACACCCAGCCCAAGCTCCTCTTAACTTCCCTTCCATGCATCTAGCCACAACTCTCCAACTGGTCTTTGCACCAATTTGTTTGATAGCTGCATCAGTATTTAAACATATAACATTTTCTGGAGGTGGCTCCCATTTCACAGGTCCTCTTTCAATTCCCCTACCCTTTTCGTCATCCTCCATCTTTACTATGGAAACATTCTGGAATTCTAACCATTCTTGAACAGCTTTATTACTTGTCAAGCCTGGACATCTCCCTTCCCTATTAAATTGAATCAAATTCCTGGACTTCCAAATCTGTCAAAGCACATTAATGGTCAGCTCAATGTGTTCCCTTCCCTCCTTTCTAACCTGTGCTTCCATCAGACTGCCCCACCAATGCCAAAAACTATATCTGTATTCATTCAACCCCTCCCAATTAATTGGAGCAACCTTCCAAATCAGTTCCGCATGCTTACAGAAAAAGAACATATGCTCAAGAGTTTCTGTCCTTTCTCCACAGCAACAACACCTATCATCTCCTTGTCCAGTCCTTCTCCTAACTGTTTCATTTACTGGCAAAATTCGCTGCAGGCATTTCCACACAAAGTGTTTCAGCTTATGTTTAACGTTCAACCCCCATAGCAATTTCCACACCCCTGACTTAAATTCATTTCTACTGCTACTCCCCTGTTGCTGGCACACCCCCTTTTTTTTCCTCTGCAAGTCTTTAGCCACCGCATAGCCAGTCTTCACAGTGTACTCCCCTGAATTAGAAAAACTCCATACTAGCTTGTCCTTACCACCACACTTACTAATTGGAATATCAAGTATTCTTTGACAATCCTCCTCCTCAAAAACTTCTCTAATCATATCCACATTCCAATTCCCATCAGAGATCAAATCATGCACTCTTTGTATATGACACTGTTGAGGTTTACATGATCTGATTTTCCCATACTCCTGATCTAACAGCCACTTATCCTCCCATATATCAATCTGCTTGCCATCCCCAACTCTCAACCTCACCCCTTCTTCCAGCAACTCCCTAGCACTGAGAAAACTTTTCCAAACCCAAGAATCCCCAGCATTGATATTCACTTCCCAAAAGGAGGATCCTCTAACATACTTCCCCCTAACAATCCTACTGACTAACAGATTTGGCCTTGTCAAAATCCTCCATAATTGCTTTGCAAGCATTGCTATATTGAATTGCTGCAAATCTCTAAAACCCAAACCCCCCTACCTTTAACCTCAGATAACTTCCCCCACTCCATCCAATGAATTTTCCTAATATCATCCCTATTCCCCCACCAAAATTTTGCCATTTCTTTACAAATGTCCACACATAAGCCTTTTGGCAATTTGCAACAATTCATGGCATAAGCTGGTAAAGCTAAAATCACAGATTTTAAAAGAACTTCCTTACCTGCATTGCTCAACAACCTTTCCTTCCATCCCCCCAATCTTCTAATGACCCTTTCCTTAATGTAGCTGAACACTTGTTTTTTTGGTCTTCCTATAACCAGTGGTAGGCCCAGATATTTGCTCTGCTTAGCTTCCATCATGCCTCCCAAAGTATCCAAAATTTCTGCCTTTTCCCCTTCCTTTGTGTTCTTACTAAAAAAGACAGAAGACTTTTCAGCATTTATAATTTGTCCAGAAGCCTTCCCATACAGCTCCAACAGCTTCATCACCTTTGCAGCTTCCTCTTTATTAGCTTTACAGAAAATCAATGTATCATCTGCAAAAAAAAGATGAGACAGTGCTGGGCTATGCTTGGCAATCTTAAGGCCAGAAATTTCCTGCCTGACCATAGCACTACTGAGTAACCTGGATAATCCCTCAGAGACAAGCAAGAAAATATATGGAGATAGAGGATCTCCCTGCCTAATCCCCCTTGTAGGTATTACTATCCCCCTTTTTTCCCCATTCAAGTTAAAAGAGTATACTACAGATGACATACACTTAAAAATCCAGTCCCTCCACTTTTGACAGAAACCCATCTTTTCCATTATTTTAAGCACAAAAAGCCACTCAACTCTATCATAAGCTTTGGACATATCAAGCTTCAAAGCCATAAAAGCATTTGTTCCAACCCTTCTGTTATTTAAGCAATGAATAAATTCATGAGCAATAACAACATTATCAATGATTTGTCTTCCTGGGACAAAAGCAGATTGGTTTTGGCTGATACAACAATTGAGAACAGGTTTTAATCTGAGGACCAGAATTTTAGATATAATCCTATAGACAACATTACACAGACTGATTGGTCTAAACTGAGACACCAGAACTGGGGAATCGACCTTAGGAATAAGAGTGATGATAGTTTCATTAATAGCCTTTAATAACTGGCCAGAGTGAAAAAAGCTAGAAATAGCATTGATCAAGTCAGCTTTAATCATATTCCAATAATGTTGAAAGAAAGCAGAAGTCATACCATTAGGCCCTGGAGCTTTGTTTGGTTGTAGGGAAAAAACAGCATTTCTGACTTCCAATTCTGACACAGGTCTAACCAGCATTTCATTCATTTGGTCTGTGATAACTAGAGGAATATCCCTCAGTGTTGAATCAATCTGCTGAGGATCACTGGAAGTGAACAACTCCTGAAAATACCCCTGAATCTCATTTGCAACTTCTTGCTCTGAATCACACCAAGTACCATCACCCTTTTTTAAGCATGAAATATTGTTCCTTCTCCTTCTTTCTGCAACACTTGCATGAAAAAATTTCATATTTTTATCCCCCTCCTGCAACCATTTAATTCTTGCTTTCTGCCCCCAAAACACCTCCTCTCTCTTATAAGCCTCTTCCAATCTCTTCTTGAGCTCCCTGACCTTTCCAATCCTATTTGCATGCCCTTCACTCTGAACCTCTGCAAGATGCTGCCTCAACTCCCTTATTTCATTCTTAGCATTATTGTTCCTCTGCCTGTTCCAGTTCAAAAGAGCAAGCCTACAGCTCTTTATCTTTTGGTGTAACTTGAAACATCTAGAACCATCTTGTTGCCTTCCCCATTCTCTACTAATGAGTTCACCTACCTCTTTATGTTTTAACCAGTTCCTATCAAAAAAGAACCTTCTTTTCCACTTCCTCCCACATGAATCAGTATCTAAAAGCATCATAGCATGATCAGAGGCCTCATTCTGGATATGTAAGCATTTAGCCTTCGCAAATTCCTTTCTCCATTGTCTACTACATAGTACTCTGTCCAATCTTTCCTTTATTTCCTTTCCCTCTTCCCAATTGTTTGACCAAGTCCATGGAATTCCTTCAAAGCCAATGTCAATAAGCTGATTTTTGTTTACAAAATCCCTGAACGTATGAAAACTCCTTTCTGGCCTTCTACAGCCCCCCCATTTCTCATCATTAGATAAAATGTCATTCATATCCCCTGCCAGTACCCAATTCTGGCCCCATAAACTTTTCCTACCCTCTATAACCTTCCACTGCTTTTCCCTAATCTGGTCCTCACTACTAGCATAAACACATTCACTTTCTTTTCAGTTAATGATTTTTTCATGGTAGATTTGTTGGAGGAATTATCTATTCAGGGTAGAAAAAAGGGATAATTTTGCAGACCTCCCCTAAGGTTTTTAATAATCGTAGAGAGCTCCCCTCAGGTTTTAAAAATTACATATACCTCTCCTATTTTACTATTTATATAACAATATTGGTCCAACAAATTAGATTTTCTCTCAAAAATCCTAAATTGCCCTTTTCTACAAAAGTACGAAAGAAAAACATGATATATTCAATTATTTTTCTTGCACTTTGTACAAATCCACAAACGTAATCCCCATCAATCATTTAATCATAAGTTCCAAATCTAAATAGTTGTCCAAAAGATCTCAAAATGTATATATATCATCAATGCTTGTCATATAGAAAATAAAAATTAAAATTAAAATACAAAAATACACACACATACCATTGACAACCAATTATATACCAAAATTAATTTCAATGTCCAAATGACTTTTCAATACAAATTCATCTAGTCTAAAATCACCATTACAACTCTTTTATGACTTTAAAAGTATTAATACCTCAAAAGTAGAGAATAAATTTTACCTCGATAATAAAATTATAATAAAAAATTTCTCATTCAATGAAAGAAATTCTCATGTAATTATTGGCATTTTACAAAGATTTTTCTTGACAATAAGCAAAATGTGATTAATTTCACATCTTTGGCTCTTTTTTCTATTTCAATAATCAATTTTATTATTTATTTCTCTATTAATGCGAGTCCCTTCATTTCCTTCTAGTTTGATATATAATTTGCTCCCTCTGTCAATTTTGCAATTTTAATTTGTTAATATTCATAAAATAAAAGATAATAAAAAAGGGTATAGTATATTAATTAGAAAAAAGGAGCAAAAATAGATAAGAGATAGAAAAATAGATTTTTTTTCTGTATTTTATAAATCTATTGCTTTAAATTGAGAATTGTCTATCAAGTGAAGGGCATTTTAGGTACTTTACTATGTCAAGGGAAGTAAGTGTAATTTCTTAAACCTAAGGCGAATTGAGTGAAATTGTTTGAAAACGCAAGGGAGGTTTTTGAAATTATCCCTAGAAAAAAAAAAAAACCGAAAGCCTTGCTCTTGCATATATATGGCCATATAACCAGAGATGGCCTACGCCTGGTTTTCCTAAGTTGCGGCATTTGCAATCCACACTTGTACAATGGTGGCTAACCAATTTGTTTTTTTTCTTCTTTTTGGGGATGTGGTATTAAAGCAATACTGATATTATTGTTGACACTCGTCGATGGCTGAGT